ACTAAAGAAAAGATACAAGCAGCCCATGACCTGGTCAAACAACAATTAGCAGAAGGACATATACAACCTTCTGTATCTCCCCATAATACTCCCATTTTTGTCATCAAAAAGAAATCTGGTAAATGGAGATTACTGCAAGATTTAAGAGCCATGAATAATGAGATGGTTATTATGGGACCTGCTCAATCAGGGATTCCTCAGTTGTCTGCTTTGCCAAAAACCTGGTATGTTTTAGTTATAGATATTAAAGATTGTTTTTTTTCAATTCCAATTCATCCTGAGGATAGTCCACGTTTTGCATTTACTATCCCTGCACTGAATCATGAAGGTCCTGATCAGAGATATGAATGGAAAGTACTCCCTCAAGGGATGGCTAACAGCCCAACTATGTGTCAAATTTATGTTAACAAAGTAATCCAGCCACTTAGAAATCAAAATCCTGAACTACAAATATTTCACTATATGGATGATGTATTATTAGCACACAAAGATAAAAATACATTGCTAGAATGTTATGCCACACTTACAAACTTATTAAAAAATTATAATCTAGAGATAGCAATAGATAAAGTACAATTAAATTTTCCAATTAATTATTTAGGAGTTCTATTATCCTCAACCATGGTCCGTCCACCAAAAATTCAAATACGAGTAGATCAACTCAAATCACTTAATGACTTTCAAAAGTTATTAGGAGACATAAATTGGATAAGGCCTTATTTAGGTATACCAACAGGAGAGTTGGGACCTTTATTTGATATCCTAAAAGGTCCATCAGATCCAAATTCACCCCGAATGTTAACGCCTGAAGCAAGAAAGGCATTAAAAATCATTGAAACATATATGGAAAATATGCATTTGGATAGAATTGATATAAGTTTGCCTTTATTATTTATTGTACTACCAACAAAAAATATTCCTACAGGAGTATTTTGGCAAGAAGGTCCATTATTATGGATACATTTATCTTATTCTCCTAACACTATTCTTACTAGGTATCCTGAGGCTGTAGGACAATTAATACTCAAAGGAATAAAAGCAGCAAAGGGAGTGTTTGGAATTTCTCCCAATAAAATGATTACTCCATATACTATGAATCAAATTGATGAGTTAGCTAATGAGTTAAATACTTGGGCAATAATCATGTGTAAATCTAATGTTTCATTTGATAACCACTTACCATCTAATCCTTTATTGTCTTTTTGGTCATTGCATCCTGTAATTTTTCCAAAAATGACAAGAAAAACACCTATCATGAATGCTCCAAATATATTCTCTGATGGGTCAAATAATGGTACAGCAGCAGTAGTTACCCCTGATCAAACTTTTACATTTTTAGTACCCAAACAATCAGCTCAAAAGGTAGAGCTTAATGCAGTTTTACAAGCTTTTGTGATGTTTAAAGATTCTGTATTTAATTTATTTTCTGATAGTCAGTATGTAGTTAATGCGATAGTATCTCTTGAAGATGCTGGTAGGATTTCCCCTTCTTCTACTGTTTTCTCTTTGCTTTCCACTATACAAAGTCTAATCTGGGACAGAAAAGATCCATTCTTTATAGGACATATCAGGGCACATACAGGATTGCCTGGAGCCCTTAGTTTGGGCAATGATTTAGCAGATAAAACTACACATGACATACATATTTTCTCTACACTAGAAGAAGCTATAAATTTTCATAAAAAGTTCCATGTCAATGCTAATACTTTACAAAAGCATTTTAAAATAACTAAGGAACAAGCTAGACAAATAATAAAACAATGTCAAAATTGTGTGACCTTTTTACCACAAGTTAATCTTGGAGTCAATCCTAGAGGATTGATACCTAACCATATTTGGCAGATGGACGTCACACACTTGCCAGAATTTGGAAAATTAAAATATTTGCATGTTACTGTTGATACTTCTTCTGGATTTTTGATGGGCTCCCTTCATGCCGGAGAAAAAACTAAAGATGTTATAGCTCATTGCTTACAAAATTTTGCCACTGTGGGTGTTCCAAAACAGTTAAAAACAGATAATGCCCCTGGTTATACTTCTACCTCTTTTAAACAATTTTGCTCAACATTTGGCATTACTCATATAACAGGAATCCCATACAATCCACAGGGACAAGGCATAGTTGAAAGAGCTCATCAAACTATTAAAATGTACTTATTAAAGCAAAAAGAAGGAATTGGGAAGGGGTATATATTCCCCAAAGATAAACTTAAAATAACCCTTTTTACTCTAAACTTTTTAAATTTGGATTCATCAGGACTTAGTGCTGCGGAAAGGCATATGTGTCCAAAAAATGTACATAAGCCCAAGGTACTTTGGAAGGATATTCTAACAGGACAATGGAAAGGTCCTGACCCAGTAATTGTCTGGAGTCGGGGGTCTGTTTGTGTGTTTCCACAGGGAGAACAGCAGCCGATTTGGATTCCAGAGAGATTAACCAAGGTCCTGACCCAGTGATTGTCTGGAGTCGGGGGTCTGTTTATGTGTTTCCACAGGGAGAACAGCAGCTGATTTGGATTCCAGAAAGATTAACTAAAGCGATTTCTACAGACCAAAAAGAAGATGATTTGGCTCAAATCCATAACAACTGATATCCAAAACTGCAGTTTGGCTATTCTTACATCTGCAACAGAACCAGGATGCGTTTTTCAATATCTATTTTATTATTGCCCTTTGCCATATCATGAAGTTCTATTTTGTTTTTTGAGCTCATACAGACCTAGGTTAATGTTTTGCCGATCAGTTCTATTTTTTGACTATAGAGTTTTTAAACATTGCAATGGAGATTTCACCTGTAAAAAGTTATAAGGCCTTTACTATAATGTTATGTGTTGTATGTATTATATTATGTGTGCACACTTGTGTTTTGTGTTATATGTTTGAATGTACGTATGTCCATATATCATATATGATGAGCGCTCATGATAAAATGGATCCAAATATTTTTTTCACGTGATTTATATGGTTCAATTTAAATTGGGTGAACAACTGTTGAGGATTGTTTTAATATGTAAACAAAAAAGAAGGTTAACAGATCTGTTTGTTTACTTTCACCTTTCCTTTTCATTATATTTAATAATTCTCTTAAAGATAATGTAAATTGTTAAGAAAATTGTTTTCTTTTAGTGCCTTCTGTAATGTTACATAATTTTTTCTTTAGCCATTATTGCCAGAATTCCTATCTTCATCCCAGTGCCGGTGAAGACAATGTAAATTGTTAAGAAAATTGTTTTCTTTTAGTGCCTTTTGTAATGTTACATAATTTTTTCTTTAGCCATTATTGCCAGAATTCCTATCTTCATCCCAGTTCTGGTGAAGTCAAAGATAAAACCAATCTACAGCTTCTACAATAGCCATCACTGAACTGCTTGCAGAACTTGCCTGGACACATTGTGAGCTCACCTGTATGCATTGTGAACTATCTGTTGGTACAGCGAATTGTGGTAGTGCTGGAGTATTTTTGCTGATGGTGTCACCGGTGGTACAATTTTTCAAAGGAGCCCTCAATTGGCTTAATGTCATGGCATTTTGCATCCTCCTCTACTAGTGATGGTCTAAAATTTGGGGGCCAACAGAGGTGAGGCAAAGAACCTCACCCCCCCCACAGGTGCAAAGGCCTATCCACAAGTATGGCTGTATGCTGGACCGGTAGTCAGTGACGGGTATGATCCAATTGCAGTGGTACCAACCTAAGACAGGAGGCTGATGCCTAGAGGTCAGTTCATCCGATGACGGGTAAGGACCATATGTTGAATTGGACTGCCTAACAGGCACGGTCCCTAAGCCACATGCTTGTTGTTTAAACAGAGAGGGGGAGATGTTGAGAGCCACAGCCAAAGGGGCCCCAGCAAACTTCCAGCTGCCAGCAAACTTCCAGCTGCTGGCTGATGATTGGCTCACAGCGGCCCCAGCAACATCTAGCTGATTGGCTCCTCGGCCCCAGCAACATCTAGCTGATTGGCTCCTCTGCGGTGATGCTCATTGGGCTGTTTCCCTGCCCTTTCAGACCACGGAGCTGCTCATTGGGGGACTTTTTTGGCTCCGCCCACGTGACCCAGCCAATCGGCCTCAAGAGCAGGAGGATTGTGGGAGGTGGGGAGAAGCTTGTGTGGGAGAGAGAGGCTTGTGGAAAGCTGGTGGTGGCAGTTGGGGCTCTGAGGGTTTTTCCTGAGAGGCTGTTTTGTTTGGCATGTGTGGTTCTAAAAATAAAGTTAGTTTCTTTTGACAAGTGGCTCCTGATTGTGCCCAGCCAGACTGCAGCAGCCAGGAAAATCCTTCCTTCATAGGTGAAAACAACTCCCTCCAGACATTGCAAATGGTCCCCAGGGGTGGAAAGTTCTGGCAGTAGGTGGGCTCTAGTGAGAACTTTGTTCTGTGACCTGATCCAACACAGGAAGGTCACTGGGTGGAGGGGGAAAGGGAAGGATTCATGGAAAGGGGACTGGGAAACACCTGAACAGGCAGAGAGTGAGATATGGTGTTAGGAGTTTGTAAAGTTCAGCAGGTGTGGGGAGCTCACCTGTAGACCCAGGGACATTTCAGGCTGAGGGAGGAGAATCATAACTTCAAGATCAGCCTGGGGATCTTTGGGAGAACCTGTCTCCAAATAAGACACATAAAACCTAGAATGGACGTCAAGGGTGGAGCACCCTGGATTCAATCCCCAATAAGGAAATGAAAAATCCATACAGTTCACTTACAGGCGCTGTTCAGGAAACGTCCCTGAAATTTACTCTTCATCTGCAAAATTGCCTGGTCTGTGCTGAGAGAATTCCAGACAAGCAAGACCTAGAGAAGAATCACCTCACAGAGGGTCTGGTGGAGGAGGGACCTCGAGAATCTGCAGGCAAGGGGGAGTCAGGGGGTGCTGGGTGGGCAGGGACCTCAGGGCGTGAGCTGAGCTGCTCCCTCCTCCCTCTGCACCTGCTCCTGGCTGACCTGAGCTCCCTGTGTACTGAGCGCTCCCTGCTGGCCCTGGGTACCCTGCAGGGAGGTTTGTGTCAGGCCTCACACTGAGGTCCCCTCACTGTGTCTCTGGCACAGTAATAGGTGGCAGTGTCCTCGACTCTCAGACTGCTCATTTGCAGGTACAGTGTGTTCTTGGAGTTGTCTCTGGAGATGGTGAATTGGCCCTTCACGGAGTTGGCATAGTTTATGTCACTGCTACCACCACTAATGTATGAGACCCACTCCAGCCCCTTCCCTGGAGCCTGGCAGACCCAGTGCATGTAGTAATCACTGAAGGTGAATCCAGAGGCTGCACAGGAGAGTCTCAGGGTTGGGCTCCTGTGCAGAGCTGCAGGGTCAGGTGCACCAGATTGCACCAGGCCTCCCCCAGACTCCACCAGCTGCACCACACACTGGACACCTGCAAACACAGAGGCAGCCTGATCAGGACAGTGTCACTCATCCACTCTTTCTCTCACTCCTGTCCACTCACACACTCAGGATCTCTGGTTCTCCATTCATTACCTTTGAAAACAGCCACCAGGAAAACCCAGCTGAGCACACTCTCCATGGTGAGCAGCTGTGTTCAGTCCTGATCACTGAGTGGGCTGAGCTGGGAGTCCAGGGCTGGGCTCCTGTGCAGAGCTTCAGGGTCAGGTGGGCTGGTTTTCATGAGCAGAGGGAGGCCCTATTTGCATGTCCTCCTGCTATATAGCAGCTCTGGGTGGAGGCCCAGGTAGAGCAGTTCTGAGAGTAGATGAGAGTGTCATGGGCAGCATGGTGGACAGAACAGCATTCAGGAGGGGAGAATTTCTTCTAATTTGATTTTAGAGTCCACTATCTTAGTTTATTTAATGTAATCACATAATCATATGGTGGAGGTGTCTGTGCTAACTCCCTGGGGCAGATGTAAAATCACACAGAAGCATGAGTGCTGGTTCACTGTCAAACAGCTCATGTGTGGTGAGAGTGACTGGTTACCTGGTCTTTTGCTCTCACCCTGGACACGACTGCTGCCCTGACCCTCCTCCAGCTCCCAGGTGCACACACCAGGTGAGGTCCTCAGAACCGTCCTGCATTGGAAATGTGCTGTGTGTCTTCTCCCCTCTGCTGCCACCTGCTCTCCAGGGAGGCGTCCAGCTGAGGGCCTCAGAGGCTCCCTACAGGGCAAAGGCTGTGCCTCCCTGTGAGGGCCTCCTTCAGCTCAGGAGCATCCAGTTGGCACAGAGCCCTCATCTGCACATGCTGCTGCCATCTATGGTGGGCACAGGGCACAAGTGTGGGCAGGGAGAAACCCAGTCTCTGTCCTCTCTTTCACTTGGATGAGCTGAGTCCACTGGGGGCCACATGTATCCACCTCTTGTAAGGGGCCTGGGAGAAGGACCAGCCACCATCCCCATGGGATGGTGCTGTGTCAAAGGTCAGAACTAATTTATTCTATTTCAATATTTACATGGTATCTATCTATCAATCTATCTAATCTATCACCTGTCATCTAGGCATCCTCTCCTCCTCCTGTGTCCTGTAGACCTGGGGGAGGCAGGGACTCTCTGTGTCTGGATCAAGTGTCTTGGAATCCTCCTGGAGGCACAGCCACATGCCCTCAGTACTGGTGCCCTGTCACTCTTCACATGTCCACGTGGTCCCAGAAGGTAGAGGACAGCTGACACCCTGGTCCTGGCCACCTGTGTTCCCCCAGGGCTGGTAGAGCCTTCCTGGCACCCTGAGCCCCAGTGGGACCCCAGTACCACTCAGGGGTCCAGCCCTGTCTGCCTCTCTTTGCCTCCTGCCTCCTGCCATGTGGTGCTGCAGCCTCAGGAGTCCTGGTCAGGAGCAGCACCTGGGTGTTTGCACCCTGGTCTCCAGAACCTGCTGCAGCACAGCTCTCTCCTTGTGAACCTTCAGCCTCAGGAGCTGCTCAGAGCAGCACAGACTGGACTCAACCACACTGGTGCTGGGGCCTGAGGTGGTCATAGTGAGCATCTAAAGAGGTGGACAAAGCCCTGGGACTGGGTCAAGGGTTGGTGTGTTCCAATTCTCATTTGGGAGCTGGATTAGTCACAAGGAGCTAACCTGGCAGCACCCATGAAGCTCACCCTGCAGGCACACAGGTGCCAGAGTGTGGAGGTGGGTCATCTCCTCCTGCCTTCCAGGGGATGCCCTGGGTAGGCCTCAGTTCAGGCAGAACTTTGTAGGTGTGGCCCCTACAGTACACATATGCAGTGCTAGAGGAGCATGGAAGCATGACCTTTAAGGCCCAGCAGTGTTGGTCTGCCAGCTGCAGGGCCAGTGTGGAGAGTAGCAGTCAGGGAGCCCACCATGTGCAGTGTGGCCTGAGGCCAGCAGAGACATGGTGTGGGACAGCCTGAGGCTTGGGGACAAGACCTCTGCCCAGTGTGCACATCAGGTAGGAAGTGGAGTTCATGAGTCTTGTCCTTAATTAAAGTTCCATGAGTGTTGAGGACCTTTTCATGATCACCACGTTGTCCTTTAAAGGAGATGTGGATAATATGCTGTCCACAGGGGAAGAATAAAGATAGTCAACAAGAATGGCATCCTCTCCCTGCTGGCCCTGGGCATGGCCCTGGAGCACATGGACCTAGCTGAAATGGGTCAGGCAGAGGGAGACCATCACCACACCATCCCTCATGTGGGGAAGCTGCTGCAGCAGGTCCTGGAAAGAGAGAGGACAGTGGCCCCTGGAGATGGGAAGGTACAGGGAGGGCTGGGGTGAAGGTGGGTGGTGAGGGCCACATGCAGAAAGGGCCTTGTCCTGGGGCTCTGCAGCTCACAGGGCACCTGTGGCCAACAGCCAGGCTGTGCTTCACAGTGACTGGGGCAGTGCAGCTGGTGGGCTCCCCACACCCAGGAGGGACAGGTGATGGACAGCTGGGTGTGCACAGCCTGGGACCCACCATGGGGCCTGGCACTCCTGTGTCAGGGTGCTGTCCTCTGCCCCAGAACATCTAGGTTTCACTGAAAGTATGAAAGTACAGTTGGAATGGCCAGCTGTGTGTCTGAATGTGTGGGCTTTCTTTCTCCAGCCATGGGGTCCAACGACCAAGCTAGAGGAGAGTGTGTCTTCAGAGTTGCTAATTAAGACCTCAGAACACCAAGCAGGAAGCAGGTCAGATTTTATTGTGCAGTTACTGTGTATATATATTCAGGCAGTACCTAAGCAGATTACAGGCAGCCACCAATGCAGTTTCTGCTAACTGTCCTTGCAGCGACCAATCAAGGAGTGGCCCATGGAGCAAGCACAGGGATTACACACAAGGTCTCAAGCCTCGGGCTGTGTCTATGGGGTAAGTGGCCAGCTGCCCACACTCCTAGCACAAGGGGAGTGGCCTGCCACTCAGACACCCTTAACATATGCCATGTATGCAGTACTCCATGCACCTGTCCCCACATCTCCCCCTCTGACTGTGCCACAAGGACTTCAGGCAGCATTGATTTTTTTCATTTGGTGGCCCTTACATGGCTACATAAACATATAAAAACACAAGAAAAATTATCGCTATTATAAACAGTAGGGCCAGGGTAATAGCATTATAAGGATTAGTTAATTTAGCTATCAGGGTTTCAGTTAATCCCTGGAAGAAAGTAGAGGTTGTCAAAATAGACACCTTAGTCTCACTGATTTGACAATGTCTTTTGCATAGCCATAACACAGTTAGCTTCCCAAGTGCCCATAATATACTGAGAAAAACTGGAGAAGTGTAATGTTACATTTTAAGATACAGCATATTGGGTGACACAAATTCCATGAAACTCAGGGTCACAGTGACCCTTGCACATAAACAGAATATCTAGTTGTTCCTGGTGGAGGTCTGTTTCTTGCTGATTGACTAAAATAGCACCTCAGGACATTTCACTTAAGTCATTTTGAATTACAAATGTTTCTGCTGTGGCAGTAGACACATTGTTCACAGTCTGAGCAGTCTGGATACTCTTAGTGAGTGAAGCAGTGGCAGTGGGCTGTGGCGGTGATGGTGGCTACCAGGTCGATAATTCCAGCAATGATGAGGCTAATTGCACACCTTGTCTGGCGCAGGATGTCATTCAGAAGACTCTTCATCTCCCTGGCCCAAGGTCTCTTCCACTCTCTGGACAGGATCACTGGAAGCCAGATTACTGGGGGCAGTTTAAGGGTAAAAAATACATTTAGCTTTCATATCAGGGGTTAGACAATTTGTGAGCCAGCAGGATGTGGTGACTGCACAAGGGACCTCTGTATGAATGCTATTTATGCCATCAGTATCATTGATTATAAGCATGGCAAAGGGTGGTGTAACACAAGCTTGTGCCTAGAGGGTATGGGCATAATTTGGAACGATGGCAAATCCATGGTCAGAGTCTGGACTCAATATTGACCCATTCATCCAGCCATCTGCTGCCCATTTGATGGGCCTAGCAGCCAGCAATATTGGCGTGATATCCATCATCCATACTGAGTTCCTGCATACCGGTTGGTAATGGCTTGTCCTGTGTAGCAGGTACTGCAGTGGCCCATGTGGTTTTTGGGCACATCAGTTACATTTCAGGGAGCTGCAGCCACCTAGGCACATAGGTGTTATTCTTCCCCAGAGAAATTCCTCTTATCAAGGAGATAAGGTATGGCAGTGACACATTATTCCATGGGATGATATCATTATCTGAGGGAGGCTTTCCAAAAAGCATTGTTGAGCATGTTGGTAGCAATGGTTTCTTGCATTACCATGGGGGAGTCTGTGGCTATAGGTAGTATTACCTAAACCTCTAAGGTCAGAGAGAGACAGCCCAACATATGACTTATTATACTTATCTACAATAGTTTCATTGGCAAGAGCAAAACAGAGTGGACTCTCTGAATTATAGGTTTTGTTGTCTACTATGCAGAAAAAAAATAGGCACAGTGTAAATGCTGATATTGTAGGGGACAGTTACCTCCTGGATGGATAAATCAGAATCAATAAGGTTGGAATTATTGGAAAAGAGCTTGGGTAAAGCCTGTCCCAATTAGCAATAGCCAGAAGGGGTGGTCTAGTGGTCAGGGCCCAATTTACCTGATGGGAGGCTTCACTGTTAGCAGTGAGCATTGCACACAGTAGGACCACCATCATAGGCCCAGGATGGAGTTGCCACCAGGCAAAGGGGCCAATATGGTGGCTTGGTCAACAAGACCTTTAAGGTCACCCCAGTTACTTTACGTGAGGTCTGCTTGTGTTGTTGAGGTCTTTGCCTGTGAGGTTTTTCCTCCAGAGTTAGTTCCTTCATCTCCTTGGTTGGTGGTTCTGGGGGTCCAGGGCTTGACTTTTTGGCAGGCACCAGCTGGGGTGAGGCTCCTTTAACATATGCAAACCCTCCACTCATGGTTAGGAGAGACCTCAGACCATCCCATGCACTTGTTATGGGATCCCTCCATGAGACCATAGGTAGAGGGAGGGCCCCGTGAGGGGGGCCTATGTTTATAGGCTGCTGTGTCTGTAGAATATTTTGAAATTGAAAGAAAATTTGAAGCAGTAAGATTCTTTTCAAGGCATCATGAGGTGACTTGGTATAGCTTCCCCCTCTGTTTTGTAGCATGGTCTTTAATTCCTTGTGTGTTATTTCTATGATGCCTTGAGCCTAAGTGTTGTAGGGGATCCCAGTTAAGT